TTCTCCGTTCCCCAACCTTCCCCGAAGGGACCCAGCTGGCATCCCAGCCTGCACTGCACCAAGGGTGGTACCAGAGCAGCAGCCCGGATGTCTGTGTTCATATGTCACATGATTACCTGGGTGCTTAACCACAGTTAATACAAATAACCAGTTTCATATCCTCATGTAGAGTGTCAGCATGTTGCAGTGGTTTGGATATTAGACCAGGATTTGGAAGTCCCAGGCTCAAATTTTCATTCTTCCATGAAGCTTATTCTGTGATCCGGGTATTTTTCTTGGCCCAACCTATTTCACAGGGTTGTGAGAATAAGATGGAGAAGTAAAGAATGATGTGCATTGCCCAGAGTTCCTTGGAGAAAGGGCAGAATAATCTCTATTTGTAGTGTAACAGAGGCATATCAAGAGACATTGCGAGAGGAGAGCATCTCAAGCGTTGACAAAGTCTTGAGCAGCAGAAAAACAGCACATCAATCCATCATCCATATGCCTTTATTTATATCCTGTTATGAAACATAATGAAAGCCTCCATTTTCAATACCAGCCAAAGTATAAATCGGCACCACCCACATGCCATCTGTGTCTAAAAGGGGTAATTCTAAAGAACTACAGCCGTTTCACTTAAATCAGACTGAGGTAGCTGTCACTTGCATTGCAAGGGTTATCTGTGCTAAGAATCACAATGCAGTAACCAGTTCCTCAATGCTATTTGTTCCATATTCTGAAACAAGGTTGAAACAAAGGGACATGTCAGATCCATTGTTTTCTAGATACTGGGCTTTCATATAAAGACCTTCATATGCACCCATACTAACTGAAGACAGTTAGGATAATAAATTACAACTGTTTGGGGTACCAGTTTATATCTAAGATATAAGGAATAAACCACAAGATCTCCATACAACGGGGGCTGACAAATCACAGGCATCAGGTCACCATGGCACTTAGAAATTTCATATCTGCCCTTTCCCCATGAGGCCAGTGGGGTGTACTTCAGCCTGATGGAAATTGGTGCCTCCCAAGTGAGGCTAAGGCACTGACATGCCTGAGTTGCTATAGCAAATCAGACAGCATTCTAGAGGCCCAGATCTCTCATGGGAGAAGCCTCCTCCATCTAGGGCTCTCACTGGAACCAGCCAAGATGCGGCAGTTGTTATGGTGACTATGAGACTTTGGATTTAGATAGGCAGCAGTGGTTTCTACTCTGAACCACAGCACTTCAGGCTTAGGCCAGGAAGTGTTGGGGGGGAGAAGATTATAGGCTTTGGACAGTTAAAGCAGTTAGACCCATATATGTTTTACACTTAAATGCTGACACTACTACTAATGGATGGTGTGTTCAGGGGGCCATTTTGGTAGATTAGATTGCAAGGTACTCTCTGTCCTTGGTGCAGCCTACAGCCCTTTCTAGGTAAGTGCCTGCTTCTCCTTGCTCCCCGTACAGTCAGATGGATGGACTTGGTCATGTGCCGAACATGGCAGTGTTGAAGCCATAAAAGAGAAGTGGGGATAGAGAACATGTAGGAAGGGCTGCAAGAGCATGGGGAGGCAAGAAAAAAGCTTGGATGCCAAGCCATGCCCACTTCCATCTTCAAAGCAGACTTGAGTATGAATCTTCTCCAGACAATGATGCTTACTGTCTGGGGAGGCAGAAATCTGGCCCAAGTTTTACCCACAAGGCAAACACACAAACATGCTCATCCTTGTCTCTTTGGAGTGAATACATTTTGTTTGTTCTGGGGATTAGTTGCTTAAATTAATCAAATTTGGCCAGTTTCTGGCATTTGAGGGTCCCAAATTTAATTTTAAATCCTTACAAATTGATTGTGGGTTTCAGATTTTGAGGAGGACAAACGCTGATTGCAAGATGAAGTATAGCACAGACTCTTACACTGCTCCTGAGGGAATACTGACCTATAGGACTACAACATTGGTGGACTAAGGGGGAAAGGGAAAAGCTGCTTCAAGTACAACTCTGCATGTGCTGCTTAGGATCAAAGCCACAGAAGGACTTTAGTTAAAAACTGACTATGTGGTAGTATGTGGTACACTAAAATGCATTTTAGAATATCTCCATGGTATAGAATCCACAGTAGATGCAGATTATATGACACCCCATAACACTATTGCTAATGAATGATTTATAGAATTGTTCTTTCATATAGGATAACTTTAATGACTTTATGGTGAGAGTCGTGGATGCATAATCCAACATGTTGCCGTGGCTGATATATATAATTTTGGCAACCCTATATATACCCGACATTCTACGTTTTGCACATCCTGTATTTATGTGGGTCTCACTGTGAATTAAATTAAAAATGCAGCTGCATGAGTGAACCCTGAGGGTTAAGCAGTAGCTTAACCATCCACTCCTTGCCAACTAGCATCAGAAACAGGACACGAATCCAGCGATTTAGATGGCGGTTCACTGGAGACTCAATTTGCTAAAACAGTTTTCTGTTCAGAGAAATAGAAAGATTATACTAAGTCTTTCAACAGCTTACTCCTTACAAGACCATCACAAGGGGCACTTAGCAAAAATACCATCAAAGAGTTAGGCATTTGGTCTTCAAAACTGGGCTCCTAAAAAAACAGACACTGGGTAAGGCTGGGCTGATGCTATCTCATTCCAGCCAAAACAGCAGGGAGGAAAGCATGGGAATGGCTCAGAAGTTAGATGCAGAAAGTGGCTTACACAATAAAACTTTTGTACATTGGCCAAGCTTGTTGTCCAAGTCTGCTGCGAACAAAGAGAATAGTCCCTACTGACCCCTTTGGCTCCCAAAAACCCCAAGGAATGTTTTATAGAAGCTGTTGTACATTATGCACCTTCTAGCCCTACATTCACTTCTGTAAGTGAAGAAGTTGGGGAACCAGATCCTCCAGCCCCAATTCAGCTGCCTTCCTGTCGTCCTACTGATAACTTGAGAAATGGCTGTGTTAAAAGTAATAATTTAGATCAGCTTATTGACATAGATTGACTACCTGAATGTTCCCCATCCCCACTTATAAGGTTTGTTTCTTGGAACATAGCAGGATGGAAGAACAAGGAAAAAGATCGTGAAAGTCATAAAGAAAGATTTCTAAACTACCAATCAGCTTTTAACATTACATATAAATGTTTCTTTTTGCAGGTTTTAGCAAGGTAGCCATTTTGCAATCTGCTGCAGACTCTGTTTTTGAATGGTAAATTTTACATTACATTGCTGACAAGCTGATACTCAACATTTGCTATCAGGTGTCTGCTTCGTGATCTACTGAAGAGACTCCTCTGTGTATTGCCCTGATTTAAGACTGTCCAAGTGCTGTCTGAACCACCTCTGTCATGGTGCCCAGTCTGCAGCATCCCCAGCAGAAGCCCACCTGGCTAATCACTTTGGTGAAAACCTATTTTAAAAGGACATTGGCTCCTGAGTGGGAATCTTAGGACTTCTGCTGCCATGCTGCTGATACTGGTTGGGGCACATGGAGCAAGGGATGCTATTCTCTGCATGGGGCTCTTTATTTTTTAAAAAATGTAAAACGTTATTGTTCACAATTGAATCAAAATGTGTTGTTTTCCTATCAGACTAGCTCTACTCTAAAAGCTCAGTACACAGAAGGAATCCTGTGCATGACTTCCCAGTCTTTCCCCTCCTGGAGAAGCACAGACTGCCCCCTTAAAGTGCCGTTCCTGTGGGTTGTGGAGACCTCCAAGAGCAGCATGAAGAAGGGAGGTAGAAGGCTGCTGTGTGAAAGGGGAAACTGGTGGGAATTGCCCCCTCTTGCTAATGGGAATCCATTGTGATGGGATCCAATATGTGGATTAGGTACACAGCAAATACCAAACAATATGATTATCTAAGAAGGGGGGGGGATCAATCCCTAAATTGATTCCATTCCAGATTCCTTGGGCTCATTTAGGGGTGTGGTATCAACACCAACCCAAAAGGTTTAGCAAAAAGCTTGTGTTGCAAATAAATATCAGTTAACTGAATGTAAACAAAATATCATTGATCTCTTATGTCATTTTTGTGTTGGTGGATGAATATTTTATACCCTTTCAATTCAATATTTCATTCAGTACAGTAGCTTCATATGAGGCTGATATTGAGTATTTAATAACTATTTGACGTGCCACAAAAGTCTAGAAAACAGGAACTGGACTGAAAGACATTATCGAGTCTAAATTAAAAAGAATACAGTGGGTGTAACAATGGGGAGAATCAATAGATGTACCATCTGGTGACACTCAAAAGGGAAAAGGTACAAGGGGATAAAACACTGTATGAAATTCTTTATTCCCCTATTTCAGTAAAAGCCAAAAAATGCACATGGGCTTAACTGGACAGCGGAGCAGGCTCTTCACAGATTAAATTTAAAAATGACAGCACAACGGTATTCTGCTAGCCACAAGATGATGCTGTTGTATTGTTAGAAAGCTTCTGCTCCTCCTTTACTCAGAAAGCATCAGGCAGACAGGCACCCCAGGGGAAGACCACATTGCAGCATCTGCTAGGAAAACCAAGGTGGATTGTTCTGTTCTAATGGTTTGCAGATGCATTTATTTTCGATGACCCATTAAGGACAAAAATTCTAAGCCTGAACTCCAAAGATCTCATAACTCAGGTTTTAATTCTATAGCAAGTTAAAGGACCTCAAACCAAGCCTTCAGTCTGATGTGATTTTATTATTGTTAGAACAGAACAAAAGGCAAGTATTTTGAGCATGTTATTCAAGAGACTCTGGCACTTGCCAATGATCATCTGTCCTATTTTAATACATAGTTAAGAAGAGTACCTCCCCCCAAAAATCAGCATTCATATTCACACCATAGGAAGTTTGGGAAAGAAGCTGAAAAAAACCAGGCCAATGTAATAAATGTTTGGTCACACTACTCCCTGATTCTGCAGAAAAAGATGCCTGATCCAATCCAATAATTACTGCATTTATTTAGAGTGATATAGCATAGACATAATGGCTACATTTTTCACTGCTTAACACACATGAGAAAAGAATACCTGCAACAGAAAGTGGAGTTCACGTCTTTCTGCTTTCCACCGCTCTGCCTGACACCTAAACTCCTCTCCTGCCACCTCCCTTATCTCTGACTGTATCATGTTCTTCTGCTCTTCCTGGTGCTCCAAGGTGTCCTTGACATGGATACAGTTTAACTTTTATTAATAAAATAGTTAAATGCCACAAATCTAAATTTCTGAAATTAAACCTACTGAGCAGAAATTCACAGGACAATAAAATCCCATTTTTCTTATGGACAGCAAGGGCTGTTTCACAAGGTCTAGTTTACTTCACAAATATCAGCCAGTTTGCCCAACTGAACATATGGGTGAATAAGTAATAAATCCAGGCATTCTAAATGATCCACAAGTAAGCCAATACCCTATGCTGCACGTAAAGAGTCAAGAAACAACATGGTACCTCCTACTGGCAGTGGGCTATGGGTAGACCTGCTTGACTGCACAGAGCTGCCTTACCTTGTACATCAAGACACTATGTGGTGTCCAAGTTTGATGGTTTACTCCAATAAACTGGAGTTAAAGCAGAAGCAGCAGAGTAAGAGTGTCAATCCTGGGTAAATCTAAACAAGACTCTTGTGATGGAATCAACCAAATTATTCCAAGTCTACCTTCTTAACTTTTAACTGAGAGGCAGTTTGGTGTAGTGGTTAGGATGTGGACTATAATCCGGGAAAACCGGGTTTGATTCCTCACTCCTCCACATGCAGCTGCTGGTTTGACCTTGGGTCAGTCATAAGTTCTTTCTGAGCTGTTCTCTCAAGGGCAGTTCTCAAGAAAGAGTTCTCTCAGCTCTACCTACCTCACAAGGTGTCTGTTGTGAGGAGGGGAAGGGAAAGGAGTTTGTACACCACTCTGAGACTCTGAGTGAAGGGCAGGGTATAAATCCAATCTCTTCTTCTTAATATTTTAATGCTTCATTTTTCTATTTTAAACCGATGAGTGTTTTATAAGACACACTGAACTGTTCTGGTAAAGAACTATGTATATTGATAGCACTAGAATCACAACATAATTTGTGGAACTGTTCTTTAAACAACTTCCAAGTTGTGGAATCAGTCCTTACAGCAGCAGTACCCTGATTTCAACACTATTTTCACTGTCACAGAAGTTTTAAGAACCAGTCACTTATTTTACATACAACATCAAACTATGAGCTGCACATTAAATGAATATAATTTGGACTCACTTGCTCCCTCCTCCCATTCTCCCTTCATCTTCCCCTTCCATGCTGTGAACCAGTTTCTTTCCCCTTGTTTTAAGGCAGACCACAGCTGGCTGTTACACCCTAACCCGTCATGCAATGACAAAGGACAGCTTGCCTTACAACAGGAAAGGAGGAAGCCACGCAAGCGAAAGAGGTAATCTGTGATTCTGAGGCTAGTTCCTGTAATGCCAACCATAGTTTAATGTTTCATCTCAACCACCCTGATGGTGGCGAGTTTAATGTTTCATCTCAACCACCCTAATATGTGACAGACTGCACTTTTAAAAGCTTAGAAGTTCTGTACAAACAGCTGAAGGACTGTGAAGGGTTAATTCTTCACAGAAACAGAGAGCCTTGAGTGACAGGCTGCTTCAAGCAATTAGCTGAGCAGAGAGAGACTTTAGAGCTGAATGCTGAGGAGGAGAATTCGGAATTCAGCCCTGACTAAGAGCAGTTTAACACAAACAGGAGAACTGGGGAAAGTTGGGAAGGATGACTGGGTAGTTAGATGGACTTCCTTTCAGGCCAAGGAAAGGGCATAGATCGTCTAGAGAGAGAAGGAATTTTCCTACCCAGTCTAAACAGGGTGGTAGCTCTGAAGAGTAAAGAGATCCCTGGTCTAGTGTGGTTAGAAGCTGCCTTTGGAGACCTTAAGAGTCAGTTATAAATTCAAGATGTGTACTGGTGTTTCAAGAAAATGGGGCAGAAGAGCGTACCAGACTTCTGGAAATCAAAGGAGTCAGTGAATACTCAAAGGAAGTGTACTGGAGTGTTTGGAAAACACTGAAACAAAAGCCTCTCAACATAAAGATTTAAGTAACTGAATAGCTTAAGAAACTCATTAACTTGAAACATAAGAACTAAAGTCTGTACATGTATTGGTTTCATCTCATAGTTTACTTCAGAAATTTCAACCCCTGATTTCACCTGACCTTTCCTCTCTATGTAGAACAAAATATTTAGTTAATTTTGAATTTTAAAATATCTCAAGTGCCATTTTCAGTTAAAGGGTGATCCCAACACTTCCCCTCAGGTTCCTGGGCTGAGCCAGCAGTAAAATATCATACTGACAAAGGATGGGACAAGCCCAAGTTCGTCAGGAAAGAAGAAAACAGACCATTAAGGCTGCTCAGTCAGAAAGGGAAAGAAAAATGGAGGGAAAACCTTGCCTCTGAGCGAAAGAAGTGGATGGAGTCATCATAGCTACAAACACAGGAGACTTCAGAACTGAAGTAACAAACAACATTGGTCAGAATAAGAAAGGAATATTCCCAGTATTGGTGAGTTTACACTTGTTTTGATTATTTAACTGCTTTACACCTGTTCCAAACTTGTTTTACAGCAAGACAGAATAATTTCATATAAGGAATTATATTTTTCGATAGCTCCCCTGCCCAATACTGACACAACTTGAATAAAGGCATACCTTCAACATATTGTCCAGTTTTGTCCTCTCCTTCAAGAGTAATTCATATTCACTATTGCAGGACTTGATAATAACGTCTTTTTCAGCTATGTCATTTACAAGTCTTTGCTGTTTGTCATCCCAGTGCTGCTGAGAAATATGAAAGGCTCTCTCGGTCTCATTCAGCTTCTGCTGTAAAGCTGTAATTGTTGCTATTGAGAAGAGAAACAAGGCGATGTACTCATTGAACTTAATGCAATGCGAAGACATTATTAAAACCAGCAGAAGTTATTTTCATTCCCTTCCATCTGACAATGTCACAGAAAAGCAACAAAAGAACAGTGATTTTCTGGAACTGGAGATTTCTTTCCATTTGTATTGGTACTATAGATTTATTACCATTAAACAAACAAGAATCTACACCAAGTTCCTGTTTCACAGGTGAGAAGCACAATAAGCTGGAGTAGAAGGTAGAAATAATTTATATAAAATACAGTAAATATGCAAGATTAGGAGGATTTTTCATCTGTTTTTGTTTTGACACAGCAGTGCAAGACATATGGCACCAAACCTGTTGTCAGTCTTGTACACAAATCCTGAACTAATTATAAACCCATAAACATTTTCAATAGCTGACCTGCCTACTTATCAGTCATTTGTGGCCTGAAAGGACCAAGTTTATCAAGAGTCCCTGGCTGGTTTCCAGAAAGGTCTTTACTACAGTAGCCCAGAAACACCATCCCCATTGCAGAGTGTCAAGATTTTGCAACATGCAGGGTGAGTTTGGGATTTGTTTATTTAACATGCCTCCTATAAAATGTTGTGGAGACCTCTGTGGGCAGTGAGCATATCTCCATGTGATGAGGAGAACCAAAGGCAAAAATATTCCTCCTGCAGAACCTCTTTTCCCTCATGCTGTTCCCAAGAACACGGATTAGTTAGCCTCCACTAGACAAAGCTCAGCAGATTCTGGCTGGCTCAGACTTTGAGGACTCAGATAGGAAAAAAAGAAAATCCTCAACATAAAATGAGCAAAAAGTGACACACGGTTAACATTTTGTCCAAGACAGCAATATGAGAAATGGAGAGCTGGGATTGTGCACAGATTATTTATAAAGATCACTGCCAACAACATGATGCCTTACACTATCTCATAAGCAAAAAACAAAAACAAAAACACAACCCCCTACCTCCAAGGAGCATACAATTTTCATCTGACAAAGGGAAGGATAAGGGTAGAAATTCCTTTAGCATTTCTGCCACAAAGTGAATGAGATATATTTAAATCTGCTACTATGATTACATCAATGCATGCAGCTTGGAAGCATGCTTCCTCGAGGGGCGTTTTCCCTCTGATCTCACTGTAGCCCCATAAGGAATGCAGAGAAACAACAGAACTGAGGAATACACTTCTCCTAGAAATGAAGAGAGGGGCCTGGAGCCACATGCCATATTTCTTGTACTGTTTTCATCTAAAAGAATTGTGGACTTTTTGTAATTGTAAGCCATTCTGAAGATGAACTTGATCAAAAGGAGGGGTATAAATCTTTAAAATAAATAGTTCTGTTAGGAAATTTTGAGACATGGCATTCGATTTCATTTCACTGCATTTTACTATTCCTACCCTTTTTCAGATCCAGAAACTTGCATTTCCCTCAAAGTTTTTAAATATATCTAATAAAAAGAGAGATTAAAACAAAAAATAAACAGAGGGGAAAGATACATCTAACATCTCAATCCAAGCATATTCCTAAAGAGAATAAAGACAGATGAAGACCACAAAAACCCACAGGGGATTCCTTCAGACAATATGTCTCACTATACCACAAAGCAGACATTAAAGCACCAATCCCAGGCAATCAAAGAAAGAAAAGAAGTCTCTAAGCAACTAGAGAGTGAAAGCATTAATTAAGCCACAACCTAAGAGAAACCAGAGAAGCAACAAATTCAGGATTCAGCACTGAGAGCAGCTCCCACTTCTACAGCTCCTAAGTAACAAAAGAATGTTTTACAGGTTGATCATCCCTCTGGACAACAGTAAAATAAGAATGAGGAAGCCCAAAGCTTTCCTGTGCGTAAAATCCAAGTGAAGTTTCTTGTATGCAATATTCAAAGGTAGTTTGAAAGAAATGTCATACCTTTTAGAATATTTGTGATGTTTTGCTGTTGGATGTCAGAAAGGCAGTTCAAAAGTTGAATGTGGTTCTAAAGAGTTTGTAAGTGATATCTTGTTTCCAAAAACAAGAACACAGATTTTGAAGATGCAGAATAATAGAAACCACACCACCACTGTTTTCACACTTAGTTTTTTCCTCTCCTTTAAATCATATTGAATTTTATTTTTTAAGGTAACAAAATCGAGCAAAGCATGAAAGAATATAAGCAGTGAGATAGAAAGCAAACTACAAAGAAACATTCTGGAGAATGAAACACACTTTTGATCATTAGTTTTATCAAATTAGTTTTGTGTAACAGCAGGTGGGAAAGGGAGAAGATGGATGAAGGGACCAGGGAAGGGCCTGAAATGCAACATCTGATTCGACTACTGAAATAGCCACAACCGAATAAAAGCCGATATTATTCTGCTTTTATTTGGGTGTAGCTAGCTTCTGAGTTCACTTGTCGAGTCATGCCACCCTTTACAGTTTAAATGCCTTCAGTTCACCTGCCGAATCATGCTGCCACAGCAGCACAATTTGGTGAGCAAACTGATTTAAAGTTTAAATGCCTTGTGAGTTAGCTGAATTGTGCCATAGCAGCGGCACGACTCAGCGATTGAAATTCTCCATTATACCATAAGGTACCCATAGGGTATAATGGAGCCTCAGGTTTCCTGACTATTTACCTGAAGACCAATACAATACTGATACTAGTATTCGGGAACATTCAGAAATACTGATATTTTCCACGTCCAATAGACCTGAATTGGGGAAAAACAGGAATTTTTTTTGCACACCCCTAAAACTCATAAGCAGAAGAGGAAGGGCAAATAAAAGGAACAAAAGGAAGATGAGATCAAAGTACTGTATAAACTCGTGACTCAAAGGCTCTGTTCTACCAGTGTTTTAGTATGGGCTTTAACTCTTACCTTGAAGTTGTTCAATTTGATTGTTTGCGTCACATAACTTGTCCTCTGCTGAGCACCATTCCAAACCAGCTTTTTTCCTTGCAACAGCAAGCTCATACTCCAGACTCTGTCTAACAGCCTCACCTTTCTCAACTGCAGCTCGCAACTTGGCAATCTGACTTAGGCATTTTGATAGCTGTGAAAGGAATTTGTACACATTGCTCAGGAGATAGAATCAGGTGGATAGCCTTGTTGGTCTGAAGCAGAAGAACGAAGTTTGAGTCCAGTGGCACCTTTGAGACCAACAAAGGCTGATTTCGCACAAGGACTACGTCGCCATCGCACCTCCCTTTGCCCCATTTCCACTGGTCAATTTCCCACTCGAAGCCGTGTGGCCACATTTTGACCCGCAGCTTCGCCCAATTTCCCCCGTGGTTTCGTGATCCTCAAAAAACAGGATCACGGAACCGCAGGGAAAATCGGGCAAAGCCGTGAGTCAAAATACGGCCGCGCGGCTTCGAGTGGGAAATTGACCAATGGAAACGGGGCAAAGGGAGGTGCAACGGCGGCACAGGTCCTTGTGTGAAATCAGCCAAAGTTTTATTAAAGGTATAAGCTCATGTGTGCACACACATTTATTTAGATACAATGAAATGGAAGCTACCAGTTTGTACATATAGGTAGAGGGTGGGTAGCAAATTAGCATACAGAATAATGAAGATATTTAACAAATGCAAGGACCAAACAGGAACAACAAACTTAGGTTTTGTTTGGGTTTAATTCTAGGGGGAAACATAGTGAAGGAAATAAATATGTCAGTTTCATCAAGCTCCAATTTTTATTTTAAATAAATAAATGCCAAGTCATAGTAACACACATCACATTATATTAAAAGTTTTATATAAAGATGAAGCACTTACTTCTTCATTGTGTTCAGCAGTTAAATCCAGTTTTTCTTTCATGGCTTGATGGAGTTTCCTTCTCAGCTCTTCCTTAATTTCCATGTCTGGTTCTCTGCTATTGGGCAGAGATGTCTTTCTACCATGCCTGCTTCAAAATACAAGCATTTTAACAGTGTTATATCAGCTCTTATATCAGGAGTTCAGCCTTAATAAGTACAGGTAAGTCCCACACATCCTTCCAAAGAAATATGGTTAAGATGCAGCAATTAATTAAACTAGGAACACCACAATACCACTTAACAGTCTGTCACATGTATTTTAAATTGCAATGATTATCCATAGAATCTCGAGTGCCCTCTATTATTGTATAATGCTTCTTTCTGCCACACTGTATCTGTCTCTCACTCTTTTAGCAGTGATGCGAAATAATTTTTTTTGTATCCTTACACAGAAAAATCAATTGTACAAGAATATAAATATTTCACTACTTATGAAATGGAACCTCAAGGTTTGGGTTTCAGTTAATACGCAAAAACTGAACAAGCATAATTACTCATAGACCGATCTTGTGAGCTAGCCATAAACAAAATGAACAATGGAAAAATATCTGACATGCAAAATTGAATGCTGACAATCTATTTAGGCAAGTGTCAACATTCACCATCATATCTTTGTAGTTGTATATTCACAACATTATTCTGGGATTTATTAGGGTTTATTCCTTTTACTCAGGCCAGCGCACACTGAATCCTCACCCACTCTATTGGATCCTGACAACAACCCTATAAATTAGGATGAGAGTGACAGAAATCGTGAGGGGGGACACGGTTACCTAATGGAAAGAGCCGTCATTCAATGAAGTGAGAGCCAACTCAAAAGGACTTTAAAGTCACCATTCAGCAAGTGGTTGTCTGTTTCCATAGGGACCGTTCCTATATTATCAGTAATAGTGTGGTTGCTACTGCAGGAAGAAATCATGCAGTTGGTCCCACCCACGTGATTGGCTTTTATCAAACATTATGAGGAGCAACATGGGAACAGTCACAGCTGGTAATGTATGAATCAGGCCATATTTCCAGCTAATGGGAAGCAGAAAGAGAAGCTGATTGATTTGAACAGAGCCAAGGGAAAAAACAAGTGTATATCAGATGAACACACAGCTTGCAGTTTAATTACTGTAATATTAGTGTTATTGTAAGATGAACGTACACAATTACCCTTTTTTCGACAGTGAAAACTTATTAGAAGCCAGCTATAAATTCTACCTCATAGTTACTCGTTCAGCTGGCATCTCAAATAAAAACAGGAGATTAAAAAATAGAACAGAATTGCACCTGGATCTGGTGCAACGGTGCTGATGTTACTATGGCAGCCACACCCAAAGGAATCAAGAAGAAAAAGAGGGTAAATAAAGAGAAGACTCAGAAGAATAGATGTGTTGTTTTAAATAATATTTTAAAATATATTTTAAGAGAAAGATACTACAGAGAGAAAATTAAATATGAAAAGTTACCTTGTAGATCATAGCATTCACTATGCATCGCAACAAAGGGAAAACACCACTGTGTCCAACCAGACTTGTGTTACTTGAATGGGGAAGAAGTGTATGATGGCCTTAGATTCCCCATTCGGAATCAGTCTCTTGGAACACATCGG